AATTCTGGATATTTATTTAGAATCACAGTTATGCTGTAACCAACAGCATAAACCACAAACAAAAAGTTCAAATTATGATTGTCATAATTAAACCAACACCATTAGATCACTTTTTTCTTTGTTCATCTGGCAGTTATAACAAAGAAACAACAGCCAAACAAAATCTAAAGTTAATAATATAAGGGTCAAGAGTCCAACTAAAGCAAACACTGATCGCCATAACGGTGGCTTACAATTTGTGATTTTCTCCTTCAGTGATTCTGCTTTAGGTGTCTTCAATAATGCTCAATCATCACTCAATTAATCACTTAATTATCTCATTAGCTTTAACACTCTGTAGAGTGGGACCATATGTGCTATGAGCAGTGCTGATTTAACACTTTTTGCTGTGTACTCAGATTTCAGCAACACACTCACATAAAAAATACAAATTACATATTTTGTATTTTGTATTTGAAATACGTATTTAATTACTTTTGAGTATTTTGTAATTAAAATACTGCCCATCTCTGACAACAACACAACCTGTAAGAAATCGAAAGGACATAAGCACTCGTTCATTCAACTTTCGACCTATAACCCATGTTGAACTTGCAGAACCTACATTCAAATCTGAGATTTCTCAATGACAATCGGGTAAAAGAGACAAATTTTGCCGTCTAGCCCCATTGACTCCCATTCATTTTGCACTCGGACGATCGCCCCCAGTGGAACTCTGGTGGAACTACAACCAAAATTCGGTACAATAGGACTTAATAGGGAGTGGCCAGGCTTTCCGTAGACGGGCTTTGATACTACTCGGGGCGACTGCCACTCTCCCTCCCTCGCTACCATGGATACCACCTCTGCTGATACAGGAGCAGCCCAAATGCGCGCACGGAAGCTTGTAATAACAATTATGGCAGAGAAAGAACAGTCAAAATTCTCAGTACCTGCATATACAGGCAGCGAAGTCAAACAAGTTAAAAAAAGGAAGACAGTATTTGAAAAGGCTATGAACAAAAAGTATTTGGATAAATCAAGAAATCATACGAGAGTCAATATCGGCGTGGCTTTCCAGCGGTGGCGACAACTGAGGGATCTCAAGGGGCTGAAAAGCAGTGGCGGTTCTAGAGGGAGGCCAGGGGGGGCCAGTGCCCCTGTGACAAAAAGCTTGGCCCCCCTTGTGGCCCCCCTAAATGTGGAGTTTGAAATAATTTTTACAAAACTGTTTTTTGCTATCGTTGTTATCGTTGTATGCATATTATTTTTTATTATTCTATCTTTGTGGATTTGCATTTTCACGTGACAATTCGCATCACATTCGCGGGAATCGCGGCAGAATAACGTCTTTCTCCTGCACGCGAGAGAGGAGAGAAGGAGAAAGTTGGTAAATGTCAGTTCAGTTGTAAGTTCATTCTTTATGTGCGTATGGGGTGTGTGGTGTGTAGCCTATTGTCTATTCTGATGTTGTAATCATTGTTTTAACTATGTATGAGGCACTGTGAGCTGACATCGCATTTGTCTATCGTCCTTTCACTGCTGTGTGCAGTTCATAGGTAGGCTATGTCCCCAAATTAGTTTTTGTCTTATATTTATATCATATTATGTTCTTATATTAGAATATCACATCAGCAAGAGTGCCGTTTTCCCGTGCACAATTGCAACTGTGATATTTATGTTATACAACAGTTAAATTAACAATAAGTTAACATTGGGAGAACTTTTTAGACACAATATTGTCAATATTGTTTGTTTTACCTTTATTTTGCCGACTAGAATTTCATAATGAAACCGTAGCAGAGTCTCAATGCAACACAGCGATGATTTATTGACTAGTCTGAAATCCGCGTTTTGAACGAATCACTTGCTTCTTTCCCGAATGAATCAGCCGTTTGAACCAGTGTTGCCAACTATTTTCAAAGGAAAGTAGCTGAGGCCTTCCCTAAAAGTCGCTAAATGTCGCTAGATGACGTCATACGTCAATTAGCATATTAATGACGTCATCGCGTCGTACTTGCGTTCTGTCAGCCTAGTGCGTTTTCTCTCTAAATTAATGTTCTATTCAATATAATATAGCCGAATGTCAAATAAAGCTGTTCTCGTTTCCTATTTTTTTGTTGTCAGACAATTGAACGAGTAGCTATAATATAGTGAATGATTACATTTTTAATAGGCCTATGTGGAACATTATCTGAATGGGAACCGGATGAACTAAGCTCTGTGATAGTGTTTACAAGTAATAAGCACAAGAAAAGAAATAAAATTAAAATGGTCAAACTAAATTCTTTAAATATAAAACAAAAGAAAAGCAGATAAGTGATAAGTCCATGGAAAAACACACTGCTCATTCGCGTCTGTCAGCGGCCGTGCGCTCCTCTCAGCCATTCACTGAACAGGGGAGACGCAGCTAGAGAGAGTGACGACAAGGAGAAAGCAAGACCTCGCGCTCGCAGGACAGTACTGGCAACATTTGGAGGTTACTGGGGTTTGTCCAAAAAGTCGCTAAAATTGTCGCTAGTCGCTTTTTTGAAAAAATGTCGCTAAGGGGGTCTGAAAAGTCGCTAAAAATAGCGACAAAGGCGCTAAGTTGGCAACACTGGTTTGAACAAATCGGTTGAATGAATGAATCCCTCTTACAGGGACTTGCCGCCGCCTACTGGCGGTTTTAGTTTCATATTTAAAGTATCCTTTAATTAAAACGTTAAAATTAGAAATCATTTCATATTTAAATAATGATTTTTTAAAAATCTCATAGCTTTATTTATGCAATTGTAAATGGAGTGTAAATATATTAATGCCACTTCTGTGTCACCTCTGCACTGCAAAGATGGATTTTGATTGAATTAATTAATTTGACTGGTAACAGTGGTACTGTATAATTATTGTATAATTAAGTATTATTGTATAAATAATTATAATTATTGTATAATTTGAATGTTAGTATTTGACATAAAAGGTGATGCATAACTCTAAATAAGTTTAGAAAAAATGTCCATATATAGGTGAAAATGCCCCTGGAAATCAATTTAAGGTGGCAAATATTGCCCCTTAATTAAAAAAATTATTTCTGTCACTGCTGTGAACTGACCACTGCATATAATATGAAAAATATTATTATCTTCGTGAGTCAGCTGTCAACAACAGGCCTAAACCAGCCATGGCACCAGCACAAAAACACAATCAGTAAAATATCATCTAATTATTATCAACAAAACGTTGAAAATATTGAAATATATTTTTGTCAATATTGCACACCCCTAATGTACGGTATTAATTTTGATTTCTTTAGGTCTTAAAAAGCCTTAAATTTGACTTTAAAAAGTGTGCAGGAACCCTGTAAACGGTTAGACGTAGTTACCTAGAAAGTAAGTTATTTTCAGTAAATGAATTAATAAGCTTCTTGGTCCCCATTGCTTTTGCTCTATAGTTCTCAAAATGAAGAGAAAGAAGGACATCATGTCTATTACAGTTACTGTGACTAATACTGAATATGTAATGCAAATGTAAAAATATAATGGAAATGCAAATACATTGTTGAATGATTATAAACACGGTATTTTGCCTGTTAATGCCTGCAGCAGTGCAGAAAATGATATGACAACAATAAGGTCTAAATGTAACTGGCCCCTCTAACAGTACAACTGGCCCCAGCTTGGCCCCCCCAGTTGAAATGGGCTAGAACTGCCACTGCTGAAAAGTGACTCCATGATGGCATTATTTCTGCTGGACAGGTAATCTCGCTGTTTTCATTTTGATGGCATTTATTTTTTCATGAAGCATGTATCAGTAGCACACGTAGCTACCTAATATAGCTACCTAACGTTACGTAGCATAACTAACGTTACACTGGCTTAGCTATTTACCCACATGGAAAGAACCTATATGAGGATATGCGCATATATGAAACCTATATGCAGTTTATATGCACATATATGCTTCATATATACAGCATATATGCACATATATGATAATATATGCATATATGCGTATATATTGCACATATAGGCAAAACTGAGGTGCATATATGTGCATATACAGGCATATAGGTCTCCTGTATTGCTTCTTTTTATCCACATATAAGCCCTATATGTGCATATATGACTCCTATATAGCTCATGGCAGGATCTGGTCATTATACCTCACTCATATTTTAGCCTAGCTCATATTTTCTATTATCAAGGCAATAACTAGAACTAAAAAAAGAAATTATGCAAGAACTGTATATGTGCGAACATGTGAAATTGGTATCACATGTAATTGGCATGTTATGGAATTTAACTATGGCAATTAAGTGAGAGGAGATGGCTATGTGAAAGCTACATTTACAAGGTCAATTCTTTCTTGTATGAAGATAGTGGAAAAGAAGGAAATAACAAAATGGTTTGTCGTTTTTTTATTTTGTCAATCAGGCCCTTTTTCCAATTTCAAGTCACTTTCAGATTTACATTACAGCTCATACACATCCACACATTCACCGTTCCACCAAATGCAATGCAAAATGCAATGTTTTCTGTATTGTCTTAATGCAGTTTCTATATGAATATGGCTGAAAGGTCATTACAGTCTAAATGTAGCAAAAAAAAAAGAAAAAAAAAAGAACAGAACATACATTGAAGTAATCATCTTCATCATCATCATCATCATCATCATCATCCCATCTATCTGAGCATTTCACTATGGTTAATGAATTTGAAGACAAGCATTTTGAGTCAGTAAAGTTTTTAAAAAATCGAAAAGCCCAAAGATCTGTATCTCTGCTAAATGAATTTAATATATGTTTGAGATGCCCTTTATCTTTTTTCTTTTTCTTTTCTTTTCTTTTTTCCCAAATTATTGTTGTTTCAACTTTTACTTATCAAATGTGAAAATCTGTAAAAGAAATGTGTCAAGAACTTGATATCAAACTCTGTAATTAAAAAAAAAAAAAAAAAATTCTCCACTCTGCTGCTACCATGGCTACAGCGCCGCGTAGTTGATGACGTCATCCGCCTGCCGTTTGACGATTCGCACCGAAAGACATCGGCTGGGAGTGAAAATGGCGATATCAGCGTTGGAGATCCGCTATGTCCTACTTATCATCAATCGTAAGTATTCCTAATTCTAATATTTATTAGCAGGGGGTTTTTCTGGAGATGGATATTGCGGTGGCAGAGAAGTATAAACTTAGAAATTGTATGGGCTGAAAGTTTAACACGTGTTTGGCAAAATAAATGCTATGTTGTTAACTGAGGTAACTTAAAGTTAGTGTGGGTGCTGATATAGCCGTTGATAAGATTCAAATTAGAATTATATTTATGTGTCTCTTTCTAGAGGAATTCGTAGAGGGTTAACAAAAGTCATGGCCTAGAGAACATAACGTTACAGTTCATGAGAATAAATGATGCTTCTCTGCCTTCAACGGCTCAAGAAGTCAATCGGCTCCAGAAAAAAAAACCTGGGGAATTTGAATTTGGGAGAAATTGGAGAAAGACATTTTTTTTAATTGCGTTCACTACCAGGTTTCCTCTCCAGAGCCTTATCAATGGGCTTTGGAGGGTTGTAGCTTGCGTTCACAGCTGCAGTAAATGTCTTTCGAATAGTAACGTTAACGTTAGGGCACTGAGTTGCTGGGTGCTATTCTGCTTTAGTGATTGTAATTGTTTTTTCTTTAGGCTATATAACTTCTTGCTAGAAATCCCTCAAATGAAAAGTGACCTCGCCATTATTGCTCAAAAGGTAAGTTCCACTGATTTTCATTGCTTTTTAAAATTGTTTCTCAAGCAGAGCTGTACTTGTGATGTTGGGCTGATTGATAGTGTTAATTATTTGATGTATTTGCACTTTAATTTATTGAAGAGAATGACTATATTTTTGTTCTACGAACAAGACTGGAAGGAGTCCTGTGGAGGATCTAGATGTCTCCTTTTTGACTTTTGGAGAAGTGCAACCGGTGAGTAACCCCCTTGCATTTGTATTTATTTATTTAGTTTACTTGTTACTCAAACAGAGCTATATGGATTTGTATGATGTTTGGCTGATTTATTTTTATTTTTATTTTTGGCTATGAATTTATTGACATGTTTAATGTTTTCCAAGCCCCCCCTGTAAATAAGAATCTATAGTGGCTTGCTTGGATAAATAAAAATTGTTGTAGAGTTTTACTAAGTTTCTTTCTTCTCTAAGACTCCAGAGAGGAGACCGAGCCCTTTAAAGAGAGTCCCATGGTGACTGAGTGCTTTCGAGAGACACCACAGGTGTGTGTAACCCTTATATACCTCAGATTTTTCTGTACTTATTTTACTTAAGGCTCCAACTGAGCTATAGGGATTTTTATGTTGGGATAGTTAGTGGTAATATGTAATTTACTTGCCCCATATGCATACAATTGTTGAAGTTTTACAATTGAGTTTAACAATGTTTTTCTTCTCTAACAAGACTGCAGCAACAGCTGAGACCACAGCGAAAACACAGGTGAATAACATTATGTAGTAAGGATGGGTATAAACTGTGTGCTTTGTAGGAGCCAATTAGTGTTATAAGAGACAACCATCCTTTCCTCCTGCCCCCCTTCGCTCCTCTCCACCCACTTTCTTTTCTCCTTCCCTACTCTCCATCCAACCTCCTCCTTCTCTCCTTTAATAACGTTTAGGGCAATGATTAATTTGTTTCATATCTTTATCATTAATCTGCATTTATACATCATAACCTATTAACTTTTGGGAAGCTAAGCATAAGAATCAATATGAAACATGAAAAAGTTTCTAAAAGTTGCCAATAAATTAATATTGTGATGTGAAATTATTTTTCAGATTGAAGTTATAAAGGGCTCTGGGGTGTTTTGCCAGGCAGAAGCGTGGAAAGCAGCCCGCCTTGCCACCTCTGCCACTGCCATGGTGCAGAATCTGCTGCTGGGCACCTTTGATTTGGATACTTTGCTGAAAAGCAACCTGAATGGTACTAAACAACATGTTCCTAATCTCTTCTGTCCTTGAAAAAAACAAGTCAGTCATATTCTGTGGAATAAATTATGTTTGTGTGCGGGCATACCATCGCTTTTTTACTTGCCATTTTTGTATTTCCTTGCACCTCAAGAAAATGTGATGTGTATATAAAAAATCTCTTGTTTTCACCACCTTAATTTTACCCCCCTTTCATAATAATTTTGAAATATTACTTTAAGGTGGGAAGCCAACCAGAGGGGATGGGGAGCAGCTGGTCGCCCTTGACCAAATTAAAAAGGCAGCCATTATTGGTGAGTAAATGCATAATGCGTTGAGAAGGTAAAACAAAACTTTTAAGACTTTATAAGTTCACCACTTTAACCATAGCCTACTTGTATCAATGTTTATTAGGCATCAATGGAGACTGTATAATGTAGGGCACCCATTATTTTTACTGTATCTGCTTGGAACCTATAATACTAATTCATTGCTTGCGCACTTCTTGATCCTACCTTTCCTCTTCTAAAGCCACATTTCTGAATTTTTTCTATCCATGAATTTTCACTGCTTTGGATGCACATGATTGACCGTGTGACTGTTAACAATGCAGTCCCGATGACGGACATGTGCATATGAAAGAACGATGCCGCTAAAAAAAAAAGTGGGACGATGTTTCCAATCAGAATTTCTTTCAGATTTAGCAGAATCCAATCAGAATCTTCCAATTGACGTGTTTACATGACGCATTTTTTATTATGATCAACCCTTTATCCAAAATGTGTGTCCAATCGCAGCTGTACTGTAAGCACTTTGGGTTCCTGATGAAGCAATATATTGTTATTATTATTATTATACTGTCTTATTATTTTTGTCTTCTCTAGATGCTACATTCAAGAAGTGGCCGGCAGCCAGCCGAGGGCAGATAGGCACATCTATCAATTCGAAGCTCACAGAGCTGAGAAGATCAACAAGATAAATTGTTTTTTTTTTTTTTGTGCAGTTTTTTATCTTATGTTTGTTCTTGTACTATTTGATTGTTCTTGAGTAAATAAATAATTTAAATTTCTACATTTTGGGCTATTATTTATGTTGCCTAGTAGCTATGGATTTTAATAATCATACTAATATATAGGTAAACATATAGCTGGATATATATGTGCATATATGTACCTATATAGTGGGGTGGTGTGGGGTGTTTGTGGGGTGTGGTGGGTGGGGTGTGGGGTGTGTTGCCTGTGAGTGAGTGAGTGTTATGTCCGTCTTCCATGTACCTGTGTGAATTATAAAGTGAGTAAAACTTTAAATTGGAACTTTGGATTCTTCATCTTGTTCTGTCTGCACCACACCCTGACAGATGATCGGACCGCCCAATATGGAAGATAGGGTCTGAATAATCGTCCTGGCTCAGGAGAGCCAAAACTTTTTGTCTTTTGTCAAGGACTTTTTCCGCCTTGCCGTCACCAGCACCCTCGATGACGTGAGCCTGAGCACCTTGTTCCGGATCGGGGCCACATTCAACCATCCTATCGACCTCCCAGACACCACCGGACTGGATTGGAGGGAGACCGTTATCCGGTGTCTGCAGAGTAGGGTTGGGTATTGGTTGGGTTTTATCTGATACCAGTACCTACTCTGTATTTTTTAAACGGTTCTGGTGCTTAAACGGTTCTTATACCGGTACTAAAGAAAACAAAACCGCACACACTTTGTCAAAAAATAAAAACCTTTTATTTACAGGGCCAAACTGGACACAATATTAACTTAAATATTTAAAGATTTTCTGATTGCTGATTAAATGAGAAATTGTGCCGTTTAATAGGCTACTGATGTAAAACACTGAAGTTAAGATCAACATTTTGTCTTCACATATTATGACTTTTACTTTAAGCAGAGAAATATCTGACACTGATCAGAAATATTTAACACACACAGTATAGCCTCATATAAAGAAGTGTTGGAACTTTGTTCAAACTTTTTGCACACGTTGTCACACTCGCTGTTGAATGGCAATGGTGTTTGCTAGCCTACTTGATATGCAAGATTTGCAGTTGGCATTAAAATAGGCCTACTAGACTTACCCGAAGTGGAACGGCTGCTGTTATCATCATCTGTGATGTCGCAACCCGATCACACTAAATGCGTCTCTATAGCACGCATTGTGTTTATCTTGTAATTTATACGCGAAAATGAGTTTTTACGTGCATAGGATACGCATGGGTTGGTTAGGGTAGATTTAGTAGTGGTCTGGGGTGCGTGTGTATTATACGTTTGGGTGGAATTAGAGGTGTGGGATGCGTGTGTATTACTCGCAATGAAGTGCATACCAAATGCATGCGAAAACTGCGCATCATATGCACGTAAAAACTAATTTTCGGGTATAAATTGCACGATAAACACACTGCGTGCTATAGAGACACTGGCAGCCTGCAGAACTTGAACTTTCGTCAAGCGTGTCAGAGGTTCTGGGTTCTAATCCGCATTCGTACATTCTTTTTTTCTCATCAAAACCGATTATGCTCATCAGTGGTTGTATATCAAGCAGGGACACGTTTGTGTGCATTATATTTTGTGATTTCACCTGACCGAATAGAGAGTCTCCGCAACGGAATAAGTGCGCATCTGAGTGAAGACAGGGGTGTGCGCAAGCCACAAGAGAAAACACTGTATCCGCGCCACTGATCGCAGCGGCAACGAGCACTTTGATCACTTGATTTAAAAAACACATTTCAGCGCTAGATCCTCTCTTATTTAACAAACGAACAAAATGAATGCTCTGCTGGTTAACTGGAAATGTTTTATATATATGTATTGGAACATTCGTGCCGCGAGATGTTTTACAGGGGGGCGGTAAGAAAAAGTCAGGCACCGAAATTTTCGTTCTTATTCGGTCTCGTTAACTACCGTTTACGTCGGAACCGGTTGCCTATTGGAACCGCGTTTCGATACCCAACCCTACTGGAGAGTGTCGTGCCTTGATCCGGAACACAGCTAGACCCAGGAAATCCTCACATCCTGACCACCCTGATCTTCACGTCATGCCTGACCATCCTGATCTTCACGTCATGCCTGACTAGCCCGATCCTCACGTCACGCCTGACCAGCCTGATCCTCACCTCATGCCTGACCAGCCTGATCCTCACGTCATGCCTGACCAGCCTGATCTTCACTTCACGCCTGACCAGCACGTCACGCCTGACCAGCCTGATCTTCACGTCACGCCTGACGAGCCTGATCTTCACGTCATGCCTGCCGAGCCTGATCTTCACGTCATGCCTGCCGAACCAGTGTTTCGTCCCACTGAGACCAGTTTGAAATCTGAAAAATCCGCCCGTCCTGCCAAGCCCGAGCCTCTTCACGTCAGCCCTGCTGAGCCCGAGCCTCTTCACATCAGCCCTGCCGAGCCCGAGCCTCTTCACGTCAGCCCTGCCGGGGCTATACGTCCTCGCCCATAATGGCCAGACCGGGCCCCCGCGGAAAGCCCACGAAGGAGGATCCGCCATGGTCGCCCGAAGGGTCGTCTCCGCCATGGCCGCCTGAACAGCCTGCTCCGCCCTGGCCATCTGCTCAGCCTGCCCTGGTCTCCTGAACTGCCGGTACCGTCCTGGAGTCTCCAGTCCCTGTTGACCCTTCTGACCCTCCTGAGGAAGACTTCAGGATGCTCCCCTCCCCTAAGATTTGGATGTTCTGTGTTCATTCTGACGCTGGTGAACCCAAGGTGCTTCGTCTACCTTGCCACTGTTATGCTGTAATAAACTTCATTTTTGAGATCTTTGACATCCACGTCATTTTTTCTTACAACAGTGTACTCAAACTTTCTAAAACTCTACAAAACCAGTTGAAACAACTGGATTGAACACTTCAATTGAATTGTTTTATGAAAAACCATTAAATACATTAACAACAATATTTATAATTTAATAAGATAGGGCCTACATTTGGACACATCGAATTCCTTAAAGGAATTTTGCCTATATCATCAGGCTGGCTATCTGACATTCTCCATAGGAAAGAGGGGCGATTAACACCTATATTGTCCTGCACCCCCACGATAAAGCTACTGAACTGCCCCTCCAAACCCCCCATAGGCTATCTGAGAGGAGAGGAGACAAAGAGAACTCCACAAAAGTACACAAAACACAAAAGTTATGCTTTACTACAATTTAATTACAACTAAAATATACTTAGTTCAAATTTGTTTAAATTTGTTTAAAAATAGCACACTTCAAGTTAACTAATCATTAACACACTTGAAGTATACTGATAATTAGTCTGGCGGCAAGTATACTTATCTTCTTTTTTTTCTCACCAGGGTAGGCCCCATTTAAGCTGCTTGAGTCAGTTGAGCTTGATGCCCTCTCTTAAAAGAAGGCGCTCCTGACCGAGCTTACCTCCATCAAGAGGGTTGGGGACCTGCAGGCATTCTCTGTCAGCGTAACGTGCCTTGAGTTTCAAACTTCCAAGTCCTGCTTTGAAACGAGGCAGAACCAGCCAATCATTGCTGTGTCCAGTACGGGCCCGGCACATTTATTTGGAACGCATGCAGAGCATCGAAAGCTCTGAGCAGCTCTTTGTCTGTTTCATAGGGCAGCAGAAGGGGAAGACTGTCTCCAAACAGAGTTTGGCCCACTGGATAGAGGATGCTATAGCCTTGACATATCAGACACAGGGTGTGCCCTGTCTCTTTGAAGTACGAGCACACTCAACTAGGAGTGTTGCATCGCCTTGGGCTTTAACCAACTTCTTTAGCAGACATCTACATAGCTGCGGGCTAATTCCCGAGAGGCAAGTCCATGTGATGTGCTTCCACATGTTAAACTCCCCAAGGGTAGGATGTGGTTCTTTCTCCCAATTGGGAGGCAGAGTGCTTCCTCTGTGCAACGGTAGATGTTTTTTCTAACAAAAAACAAACAAAACAAAACAAAGAACAACAAAAGGTCAAAAGGAAATCAAGCTAAACAACCTATTTCCATTGTAAGCTCTTTTTGATCACTGTGTGATACGTAAAAATTATTCTGAGCTTGCAAAGGATGCTGGGTAGGCTACGTTCTTCTTGGGTGCACCTGTTAGCCGGCACAAAGTAGTTTGCCGACATCTGCATCGCCAGGACTTTTAACTCAGTCTAGCGTTGTGGCGTTTTCCATAGGCACCCTTAGTGTCAGTATTCGACACTGTTGTGGCAAAAATTCATCTCAAACAAACATCACTGCGTAAGAGACACTCAGAGTCAAATTATATAAAATAGAAGTATTTATTCTTGCAAGAATAGGAGCAGTCTAATACACAGTTGTTACCCTGTGCAGAAGAGTGACACACCCCCAGACAGACTG